AGACAAACGTATAATTTGATGAACGGCTGACAGTGTGTGATGCTGTGGCGTCTGACCTGGCCAACCCCAACTCTCAAACAATTTCATTTACTCAAAATCAAACAAGGGTCATAAATTTTCGGTGCCCATCCTACGAAATAAAGTAACCTCCCTTAAGTCACGTAAATAATTCCTTTAATTAGACAACACTATTATAGATTTGGTAGATTTTGATTATTATTATTTTTTTTTTTGGTTTGTTTAACCTACGTTAAAGAATAATCTTTAAATTTATTAATATAACTATTTAAATCTCTTGGAAAAATTATTTACCAAGGAACTTTTTTCCTTCCACAATTTTTCACAAAATATCCATGAGAACTGGTTGACAACGATGCACTACAACACCGAGATCTCGTCTCTGTATCTCTGCCAATACACTGCCATTAGCCCCTAATTTTCATGCACCTACACTTTTTGGGCACCACCCAATGTGCAACAACACAAAAGATAACCTAAAAACATAAAAAAAAAAAAAAAAAAAAAACTACGCATTTATATTATCAACACAGCTTCATGGTGCTACGGATAGAAAATAGTGTCCACTTACATTTGTAGAGCGTCGCGGCGATGCCTCCTATTGGCCAACTTGGCCCTACAACCGGCTTTTTCATTTTTTTCATCCTTCTTCGTCCCGACTCGATCCTAGTTCATTTCCACGTCAATTTGGCTCTACCAATACCAACAAAATCATAGTTTTTTTTATTGATATTTGTTGATGTGCTTGTGCGACATAACCACAACTAGAATTTGACATGGGCTTTTAATCGCCAACCTAAAAACAGAACCTTGCACCAATATTTTGCATCGTTTTTTAGAAATTTCGTCCCACATCAATGAGACATGGTGCTCAACCTCTTCCCATGACGTCTGTATGAGAAAGACAACAACTCCACTCCAGCTCCCAGATCTTAAGGTCCATTTTGCCCATACCTCTTCAGGAGGAACGAGAAAACCCATTTTGAGTTGATTGTCTCCAATGGGATATTACATTATTTGACCCACTCAAAAAAATTTTTTCCTCAAATAACCTAACCCTTCAAAAATGTTTCTGATGACCCATTTTTATTTTAAATAAACTTAAAAAATTAAATTACGTTAGTACCCTTGGCTCGAAACTGTTCTCATCCCCCCCGTTTCCCCCTCTTTCTCTTTCTTTCTCTTCCTCTTCGTTTTCGTTGTTTTTCTTCCCCGTTTCTTCTCGTCTGTTCGAATGAAAGCTTGCCTGAACATTGCTTGAAACCTATTTTCGCTGCGAACTCGTGTTGGTAAGTGGATTTTGTAACTCTGTCTAGTTAGGTGTTTTCCATTATCGTCGATTACCAATATTGTAGTTAGGGTTTAGTTTGATTCTATAAATTTCTATTTGAGGGGTGATAGGGCTTGAGGTTTTGTGTGTTGCTCGGTAAAATTAGTGTTTGAAGTGGTGGGAGGTTGAAGAAGGTGAAGAATCGTTTAGATTTCGGGCGAAACGTAGCGAATGTCGAAGGGTTTTCTCGTGGGTTTTGAAATTTTCTGGGCTATTTTAGGCGGGAGAAGATCGAAAAATGCCCGTTGACAATTTTGCCCGAAATAGACCCCGAGGAATTCCCGGGATGATTTTGCCTGAGTTCGACCCCCGGGAATTTTACAGAATTTGAATACCATTGTTTTTTGGTCAGTTTTTTTGCTATGTCATTATTTACTTGGATTGTTTAGATGTGTGTGGATTGTAGCTGTCTTATTATTTGTATTATGCTGACTGATTTACAGGTGCTTTAAAATGGAAATGATTCCGAAAATCGATCCAGCAACCTATGCTAGTGCGAAACTAATATGTCTATCGCACATAGCGAACACATGCAATGAGATTAATAGAAAACTCACCCCCAATCAGCTTGCTATGTTCAAGAAAACTATCTTTGGCCACCTCCTCGACGTGGATCTCGTATTTAACGGGTCATTGATACACAAAATTTTACTTAGAGAGGTAGAGGAGAGTAGAACAAACATTATTAGCTTTAACCTTTTTGGGAGTAAGGTGTCTTTTGCCGTAGAGAGTTTGACATTATTAGTGGGCTTAACTATGCCAGAAGTCCAGTTAGGAAAATCACATAGCCTCAAAGACTTAGGTCCTATACTTCAACGATAGAATGGAAGTGTTGTTGAGTGAGTTGGAGAAGATATATACAACTGCACAGTTTGAAGATGATTTTGATGCTATGAAGGTGTCAATAGTGTACTTTGTATAATTAGTGTTGTTAGGGAGAGAGAAAAGCCTTAAGTTTGATCACACTTTGCTCGGAATAGTGGAGTTGGGAAGCCTGATGCAATTACGACTGGGGATCGTTGTCATTCGAGAAGATAATAAATAGTCTACAGCGTGGTCTGTCCAAGAAGTCGAAGGATGAAGGGTTAAGGAAATCGTATAGTCTCTATGGTTTCACATGGACGTTTCAAGTACGGACTTAGATACTATATTTTATGTTGTTTTTGTTTTATATTGTGGTTTAACACGTCCATTGTGTATTTCTAAAGGTGTGGGCATACGAGACTATATCTTCTCTATCGGAACGTGTTGCGACTAAATTAAGTGAGGACGCTGTGTCACGCGTCCTCTGGTGGAGGTGTGGACATTCGATTGCATACCATGTGTTAGCTAGAGAAATCTTTCGGTCTTCTACTGTAAGTTCATTATACATTATAATTATTAGGGTTTATTAATTTTCATCTTCATCCCATCAATATGATTTGTGTAAGCAAGAGCGTGAAGTTTAGTTGTAACCGATGTGGAGACGAACTTCCTAAATAGGATGTTCGAGCCATCCGAACCGGAGGACGACGAAGTTATGGTGGAAGGTTTTCATGGAAGCGATGCTGCTGAACCATCGGTAGCACGCGAAGAAACTGAGAATAATGCTGAGGGACTGGCTGGGAATGTCGCTCAGGGTGAGAAAGGGAATGAAACTGAGGGGAATGAGCACAAGGAGAATGAGCTTGAGGAGAATGAGAACGAGCCTGAGGGGAATAAGAGTGAGAAGAAGAAACATTTGTATAGTATGCGTCTGAGGAGAGTGGAAAAACGTTTGAAGTGAATTGACAAGCATATGGACGATCGGATGGGTGGTATTAAGGCTGAATTGAAATCTATTAGGAAATTTCTTCGGCGAATAGCTAAGGTAAAGTACTCAAGTCATTTGTAATAATTAACATATATTGAAAGTTCCTTTATATTAATATGTCGGACATTGTCTAGGGTTTGCCTGCTGATCCCAACGACACTAGTCGGACGGGATCGGGAGACGGACCCATCGAGGTGATGGTGGTTCGAGTGATGGTGGATGTGGTGATGGACCCGATAATGCTGGACGGGGCGATGGACAAAGTGGTGGTAATGGTTTTAAACCATCTGCCATGGACTGTGAAGGCACCGATGTTCATAAGGTAGTGTGTGCTCACGAGAGGGATCAACATGAATCGGAACCAACGTCCGATGAATATCGTGAATAGGTACATTTTCCATTTCAAATATATGTCTTGATCCGGTAATAACGACGTTTGCATGTGTTTTGTTTGAAGCAACATGCACGTGACTTGTTGTGCAAGGAAGACGTGGCTAAGGAGGACGTTCAGCTGAAGGGTGAACCTCTTGCATGTGGGGCAGAGCCCGATGCTTCTCGACTGCAGGAATAGGAAAGGATTCTGATTTGTTCCCCATACAAAGATTCGGCCTCGATCAGTGCATCCGGCGAGTGCACACCGATTGAACGTATCATCATAGATTTGCATGACCCAGAGTCATCTGAAGACGTGGTATTTACCTTTGATATTCGGCCTTTTAATAAAGCACTTCTACTTCTGACATAGTTCCATTAGGATCAATATACCTGCTGAGGATTGGTACATTTAATCAAACAATGTGCACCTGGAAAATTCCCCGGGCGAAACTAATTCTATTTCGCCCGAGTTATTTTCCAGCGTGTGCATTGTTTGATTAAATGTACCAATTCTCGTACGAAAGTGAAGCGTTTTCACCCGAGAATTATCACAGAATTCTCCATTTAGTGCAGGCTTAAAAAAATTGGTTGACACCAACGGGCATAAGTTGAATAAATATTGGATTAACGCAAACGGACATAGATGGAAGCAAATAAGGAACTGTTTCCCATTGTAATGGACCGAAACAATAGATTCAACAAAAAAATGAAATACATGTGATTAAGTGTCCGTGGTTCGTAACGATTGGCGGCAAATTTTGCGGTTGTGCCCTCGGAGTCCACACCTACTACATTTATGAACTTGGTGCGGCTCTCCGACAGACGGTATCCGTATAGTTTGCCGCCGTCCAACCCGAGGAACGTACTTAGGGGGCTCGATGGGGAATTCAACAAAGTCACTCGGCAGAACCCAATCGTCCTTGTCACCCAATGGATAGATAGGTTCAGTATATGCAGTAATTAGTGTCTCTAAACTATATTTCGGTGAACACAACATGTACCTGTTCAAATTCCGAAACATTGCTGCAGCAACAGCATGGGAGCATGGAATCTCGTAGTAGTCGAACTGCTTGCATGTACAAGCCTTACTGTTCAAATTGACACGCACTTTACTACCACCTGCGTGTACCTCGAACTCATAATTGTCGATCGGTCGAACAGTGTGTCGTCGGGCTTGTTCCGAGACTTCTCTTAGAATGTCCGTCGTTCATATAATCATCGTTGTAGAAGAGCCCGACAATGTTCAAACAGTGCAGTAACTGGCAAAGCTCATTCATGCACAAGTACTGCATTCATGGACTCTGCAATGTTAGTTGTCATCTGGTTGTATCTCAGTCCAGGTTGATAGGCCCATGACCATTTGTCGAACCCAATTTCTTCGAGGTACCTTTGCACTTCTGGGAATCCAGCAAGTTGGTTCCAGTAATATCGGAATGTCGACTTCTTAAATGCCTTTGATGCTTTAAGATATAGAGTCTGCATGCCCTAGTCCTTGAACTTATCATTCAATTTCATCTTGACGTGATGCATGCAAGTGACGTGTTCGACATTAGGAAATACAGTAGCAACAACATTATTAATGGTTTGGTGCCGGTCGGACACAAAAACCAATCCATCTACCTCTCCAATAGACATTTTCATTTGCTCTAAGAACCATGTCCAAGAGTTGTCTGTTTCCCTATCAACGATTCCAAATGCTACTGGGTAAATTTGATTATTACCATCGACCGAAGAAGCAATAAGTATCACACCTCTGTATTTTCCTTTCAAATGAGCATCGTCAATGACAAGTACAGAGTGAATGCAACTTCTGAACCCCCTGATAAAGCATCCAAGGGTCATGAAAGCATATTGAAAATATTTATCATCTTCAAGCTTCAAATTAAATACCGTACCTGGGTTCACATGTTTTAACGCCTCACCATATTTATGCAGTAGAGTATAAGACTTCTTAGACGAACCCATCAATAAGTCCAACGCTACTTCTCTCGCACGCCACACCTTTTCGTAACGGATGTTAACACCGTAATCTCTACGCATGTCACTAACAATATCTTTTGGCCTATAACGACGACTTGGATCCTCAAGGTTTGCCTTTATGATCTGACCCACCATGCGACTTCGTGCTTGTCTGTGATCATGTTTTATTACCTCACCTTTGCAAGTATGCACACTAAAAAACTTAGAGATGAGGAAAGTATCGGAACCAGGAATCCTCCTCGCACGCATGCCTCATTTACATTCACTCTCGCAGCATGCAACAGTTAACAAACTCTTCGTAGATTTCTTCATGTGGTATTCAAAATTCAACCTCATTGTGAAGACCGATAGATTGAACTGCAAATCTGCTTTCGATTTGAAAGTACTACCTACTGCAATCTCTTCTGAGGTGAAACCAAGTTCATCAACTGTCCTATATCTCTAGAGCAAGATGCTTGAGCAGTTGTACAAGGTGCATTCATACTTACCGTGTTAACTTCATGTAAGGGTGCAAAAGATGGGGCATATACATCCGCTGGCTCTACATCCTTTTCGTTGTCAATCCCTACATCATTCTCAAATCCTACTATCATTCTTAAACTCAGAATCATCACCCTCAAATTCGTCACCCTCATAATTATCCCCATCGTGATCTTCGCCCTCATCGTTATCATCATTGCCTAAGTTACATGAGACAACATTGTCACTTAACGGTGTTATTGATGGGACAGAACATGAGGGACCAACACCCGGTATCATGGAGTGCATGGGAATAGGAATGGGGACATCTTGACCTAACTGGTACGGAAATGAATCGAATGCTTCAGATGCGGGAATGATTGGATTTTTTGAATTGCTACCACCATTTCTAAAAACACCATTTCTAAAAGAAACAGCTCTTACCTTCTCCGTGTGATATATATATCCAATGGGAAACAACCCTAAGTGCTTAGATGGATGAAGGATTGACCTTGATGTTAGAACAACGTGGTACACTTTTTCAGAGTACAATGTTCCTTTTGTTGTGTTATCTGAAACCTGGTGAAGCCTTAAAAGTTTCGTAAGTATTTTTTCTGAACATTAAACGTTTAGGTGTATGCATTAATTGAAAGTTGGTTGATTGATGGGATTACAATTTCGAACGAAAAAGTCGTCAAACCTCGCTCAAAAATTGAATGTCAATACTAAACATCAATCCCCGCCAATAAATACACAATTTTATTGCATTATTTGAAAAAATCACGGCTGGGAAATGTTCGACTTCGGGCGAGTAATGCTCCTCAAGAAACATTGCAATGAATTTAATATTCAGGGGTAGTTGTGTACATTTACTCCACCTGCCGTGTCAGAAAAAGCAGCTGTGGGTCATCAGAAACATTTTTTAAGGGTTAGGTTATTTGAGGAAAAAAAAACTTTTAGGGGGTAAAATGGGTCAATATCCCGTCTCCAATGCAATTAAAAGCACAAGTTAGAAGTGAGGCAAATGTTAGGGGTAAAATCAAGTGCAAACATGTGTCCCTCTCTCATTGAGACAAACACATCGAGAATGAAAGATTGGGTCAATGTGTCAAGAATGAGAGATTAATGGAGCTTCAACGTAGGGAAGATTCTAACCGACTAGAAATCAGCTACCAATAGAATGACAATTCTACCAACATAGGATCTTCTGATTATCGGTGGAATGTCCACTGAATGATAGGTACAAATATCGTCACAACAAGGCAGCACTTCTTATGCTCCCATTATTTAAAAAAAAAAAAAAAGAGTATAGTCCCACCTTCTTAAAGGTAAAAATCTCTCAGCCTTCACTTAAGCTCGATTAAATACTAGCTCTAATTAAGTAAACTTACTAGTGTTTCAAGCACCACACTGGTGTACGATTTTATTTCCGAGTTACTAGCTCAACCCACATCATAGTTTGTATCGAATCGTCTATTGACGTGTCATGCAAGCTAGGTTTGCGCATCAACCATATATTTTTTAATAAATGTATGATAAAGCACAAATTATTGGATTTTAGTAGGCTAAATTAAGTAGTCTTCCTGCCTTAAAAAATCCATTATCTCACTATTAAAAAGTATTACCAATTGAAATTTTAAAATTAGTTCTTGAGTGTGTGATCTTATCACGTTAATTAAAGAATGAAATTTATCTAAATTATTAAGTTTTATTTTATGAAGTTAAATGGATCGGTCAAAAGTTTTGATTCAATTTCCACTACTATCAAGGCATAATGAAATATAACTTTTATTTCTTTAATTAGGGATACAAGATCTCTTTATTTATTTATTTTTCTTGGGTGATAAAGTGAGATACAAGATCTAGATTTGATAGTATAAAAAATATAGATTATTCAAATAGCTTAGTAAGTGGTTGCTTTTTTTCTTTTTCTTTTTCTTTTTTTTTTTTTGCAAAGGCTTAGTTAGTATATTTATATGGTCTCTATCAAATAATAGCAACAATTAAGTCAAGAGATGAAAAAATAAATTAATAAATATTGATAGTGATTGAGATCCATAAATAGAAAGTTAGGTTGTTCGGTTAATAGTAAATATATCCAAAAAGTAAATAAATCCTTCCCACAAGAGATGTTTCTTAATTTAAATGACACATTTGACAGATAGATTTATTATGCCTTAGTCGACTACATTAGTAGAGTGTAAAGTTTGAGTAGTTATATATTAAGCTAAAATGCTTGTTTGAAAGGCAACTTTTTAGTTGAAATTTGGGTTACCAATAATTTTTAAAAACAGATGATCTAAATTTTCTTAAAAATTGAAATCAATCCATGTTATTGTTCTAGTTTAGTTTCTTATAATTATTTATACAGCCTAAAATGTAGCACCTTTTTTTTTTAGAAAAAAATGTAGCCATTTGTTATTTGGTAAAAGACTTTTCCCACAATTTTTGTAATTTTGGGCATTATTTATATCAGTATCCATTCTCATATTCTTCCCTTTGTCAAAGAATTTTTTTTTTAACTTAAAAAGTATAAAATAGGATTCAATCCTAAATTTCCTTCCAACGTAGGCATCTGACGCGCTTGTATTTTTTTAGTTTAGAATTATATATAAAATAATAAATATATCATATAATTCTTAAAATATATATGATTTTAAATTTTGTTTGAAATTTTTTTATCCAATAATTATTCAATAACGTAACTAAAAATAAAATAATCAGATAATTAAGCAACGATGAAACATTTTATCAATATTATTTTATATAAATTTTAAATCCGTTGACTATTAACATCTATCTCATATACCCTTAATTTAAGAATTCAACTAAAAGATGAGTTTTAATAGATTATTCATGTAAAATCTAATTTACAAGAGACGATTTTAAGGATACATGATTGTTAAAAGTTAAATAACTGATTTAATTTATATTCTGAAGGATTAAATCTTATTTTAATTTTACAACTTTCATTCTTTATGCAATTTTAGTCTTCAAGTTTTTATTTATTTATTTTTTATTTTTGAGCTGGTAGTCTTCATGTTTTAAACCTTTTAATTTAATTTTCAAACTTTACATAAAATAAAATACTCTAAAAATCAAAGTCCTCGCTCGCACCAATGAGGAACCGGAATTGAATCACCTTTTTCAAATAGATTTAAATTTCATTTTTTCTCAAAACTTTCAAACTTAATTTAGTTTTAAGTCAAAACTTTACAATAAACTTATTTTTAATATATTTAAAATTTAAAACTATTCATTAGTTTAGTAGTTCAAACTTTTAAAATATCTTTAAAAATTTAAAGAATAACAATTTGGGTAAATTGATAGTTGAGGGTGGAATCATACTAATTATCAAAATAATTATTAATTTATTTAAAATATAGAGACTAAACTAATAATTATTAATTTATTTAAAATATAGAGACTAAACTAAACGTTGTATATAACGACCAAATTAAATCAACAATTAAAATAAATGTTTTAAAATTTTGAGGGCAAAAATCAATTTGTACCTCTAAATTTAACTAAGTTATGAAATTGTATCATAGATTTAAATAAGTATTTACCAGAAAAAATCTAAACAAAATCATATTTTTTCTAAAATTTAATCCATTTTGTACTAAACCAACTTCAAAATAAAAGCAACTTGTTTTGGAAAGTCTAAACTCAAACCGAATGAGATTGAAAATGGATAAATTTGGATAACTTTTTTCACTAAAAATTGAAAATCTAAAATAGATTGATTAGGAAGGAGACGGTGGGCAGGGGCAGGGGAAGGGTGGGACCCGCATGAATGAGATCTCGTGCATCATGTGGCAGGCTTTCATTTAATAATTGTGGGGCCCACACCACTGCCATCATTAATAATTCACGTGGTCCCCACCGGCACCCCTCACGTATCTGCTCTCCCTGGATAGATTCTCTCATTTACCCTTACCGGATGCCGCGCCAAAACTTCTTTTTCCTATTTCTCCAATTGTTCCTTTATATAAATAATTCTTTTTCGTCTTCCTATTTTTCAATTTTTCTTACTCTACTATTTTTATTTTTATTTCACTTCTATTACTATATTTTAACAAATTTATAGGTATAGCATTCTACTAAAATGCTTATTGAAATAAATGAGATAAAGTAAAATAAACAGAATAGAATAGACGTTTTGAAAATACACACTACACTAAATTAAATGAAAGTAAACAAAAAAATTAAAAGTATGAGTAATAAAATCAACTAAACTTGAAAAGATAAAAATTAAAATAGTATTTCAACATTAATTATTTTCTATTTAATTATAGTTCCCTTTTTACCTCCACAGCCTAAAATGAAAGGGGGGAGAAATTAGATGAAATTTAGTTTGCCGTAATTAAAAAGAAGTATATATATAAGTTGATACTTGATAGTTTTTCTTACTCTAATTTACTCTCTTAAGATTATATAATTAAAATATTATATACATAAGTTTTAAGTGAAATCCTACCTACTAAAATATATGGTAAGTTTTCACTCATTTTTTATTTTTTATTGAAAAAAAGAAACAAAAACATGTTTGTTTTTGACAACTATTTCTCTCTTTTTTGTTATATAACATTTTAAATTACAAAAAGTAAAAAGCTTTATATAAAAATTATTTTTTAAAATTAAATATTCAAAATGTTTATATTATTTTTTATATTTATTATGTATTCTATATGTTTAAAGATAACAAAATAATTCTTTTATCCAAGCTGTGTTTGAGAAAAGAAAAAAAAAACTGAAAACATAAAAAGAAAAACAAAAAAATTTTATTTTGTTGTTTCCAAAATTTCTACACAATTTTATAATCGTTTTTTAAAAAAAGAGAAATACAAAATAGAAATATTTACCAAATATTTATTAAAAAATAAGAAACGAGAACCATACGAAATCAATGGGGAATTTAGCCCATGTAAAGTGAAAGATAATAAATATATAGGTATATTAGTTGGAAAAAGAGGTAGGGGTATGGGGTGGCCGCGGGATTCCTTATTTAATTTTGCGTGAAATAAGCTTGTACTTTTGTGGGCCCCACCCCGCATCGGCTACGTCGTACACCTCATTCTACATACTCACTTTCAAACTGTTACTTTTGCTTTTTCTAAAAAGAAAAAAAAAAAAAACTTTATTTTCTCTTTTTCCTTTTAAAATACTGCAGTGGAGAATCGAATCTCTATGCTTCAGAAAAATA